GATGTGTTCCCTGGACTTTAGACTCCCCAGCCTCTGAAACTGTAAGAAATAAATTTCATTTTCTTACAAATCACCCACTTCCAGGTATTGTGTTACAAGCAGCAGAAATGGACAAATACAGCCACTAATGGGTAGTTTCCTTTTTTTTTTTTTTTTTTAAAAGATGACCGGTAAGGGGATCTTAACCCTCGACTTGATGTTGTCAGCACCATGCTCAGCCAGTGAGCTAACCGACCATCCCTGTATGGGATCCGAACCCGGGGCCTTGGTGTTATCAGCACCACACTCTCCCAAGTGAGCCATGGGCCGGCCCGGTAGTTTCTAATATACACGCTACTCCAGAAGAAAGTTGTTTTGGGCTTGGATTCGCTTTTGGTTTTTGCTTTTGCATGGGGGTAAGTGTTGTTGGGGGTTTTGCACAGTAATACTTCCCAGCCTCTCTGGATAGCCAGGGGAAAAAATGACAAATAGCTCTATTTCTTTGTACCAAGATAAAAAAGCACCTGGGAAACCTCTTGCCCAGCCCATCATGGTATATTATCATCTTTTGCTCGTGGTCTTCACTTTTGATCACCACTAGTTTCCCTTCAGAAGCATAAAGGAAATGAATAAATGCAGTGGTGTTCTGAAAGGGGTCATGGAAACAGTGATAAGCCCACATGGCGTTCCATGAGTGGGGAGAGTGTAAAGGTGTGGGTTACTAATTTGAGAAGTCGGGTGAAGGTGCATTGCCTATAATGGTGATGAAATTCAGTTCTTCCATTCCATTCCTGTGTAACCATTTCTGTTTTCAGACCTTCCTATTCAAACCCAAAGTGTTATGTTTGAATACCATCCATTCATTCTCCTAAACTCCCGCAAATCAAATTTTCTTCTGAAAGGAAGCAATGTATTTTCTTTTGCTTGCTGAATAATTTTTTCTCTTATTCCTGGCTTCTGCAAGAGTATGTTCCAAATTTGTTTGTCTGTTTGCTGTGAAAACAGATAATTTCTCCTGTTATATAAGCAAAGATTAAAATATTCATGGTTGGCAAGATGGAGAAATAGTAACCCTCAAATACTTTTTGTGGGAGTTTAAAATGATACCCTTTTTAAAGGCATTTTAGCAATCTGGATTCAAGGCATGTCTTTTTTCATCACAACTCCAGTCCTAGGACTTCAGAAACACAGAAATGTGTGTAAGAATATATACTCTGCTTTCTCTTCAGATCCTATAAACTTTTTACCTTTTAGATATTTGTGTAAGAATATATGTTGTTGGGCCGGCCCGGTGGCGCACTGGAGGGTGCACCGCTTGGGAGCGCGGCGGCGCTCCCACCATGGGTTCGGATCCCATGTGGAGACCGGTTCCCGCTCACTGGCTGAGCGTGGTGTGGGCGCAACACCGAGGGTTGCGATCCCGTTGCCGGTCAGTAAAAAAGACAAAAAGAAAAAAAAAGAATATATGTTGTAGCTCTCTTTGTAACAATGATAAATTGTTAATATTCTAAACAGCCATCAGTAGATGTTTAAGTAAATAATCTATGGTGTTATTTAATAAATGCTTTAAAAAATGTTTTAAATCTATATGCTGCTTTAAAAAAAAGTTTTAGGTCTAAATGTACAGACAGGGAAAGGGAAAAATAGCAAGTAGTAAAAGTAAATATTCCATTTTTAAAAATTTATATGTGTAGGTTGTAATATTCACAGGAAAGTTCTAGTAGAATACATGCCAAATTGTACTGTTAACAGGAAAGACACACTTATACTAAAAAAAAAAAAATATTGTTGCTTGTCTAAAATTCAAATTTAACTGGGCATCTTGTCACAAAAGGTTGTTACACCAGCCTACATTGGTAGCTTCAGGCAGCTGAGGGTGCCCTTTAAAAGTGTCAGTTACAAACATCTATAAACATTGACACCAAGCCTGAGCTCCTTTAGGGCTTTTCTGCACCTTCACAATGAACTTTGAGTGATTCTTAAAGGAAAGAAGGGAGGGATGTTAAAATTAGGAGAGTGCCTCTAAGAAAGTGCTAGGCAAGCTGATAGATATACATCTTCTTCAGCTTCCTTAAACAAAGTTGATACTGCAGATTGCTGAATGAACACAAACGCCTCCCATCCCAGTAGGCACACCTCTTTACAATGTGGCCTTGCAACAACCCTCCCATGCAAAGGCACTCTCTCTTCCACACCCATGAGTCTGAATTGGATTCGTGGCCAAAAAACTGTGGCAAAAATGACATGGCTTAAGTCCCTGAGCCGAAGCCTCAAATGCTTCTGTGGCTTCCACCTTCTCCCCATTGTAAGGCTGCTCTAAGAAATTCTACCTGTAAGGAATTCCTCAGACCACCCAGCCAACCCTCAGAGTCATGAAAAATAGTAAATGGGTGTTATTTTAAGCCATTAAATTTGGGGTCATTTGTCATGAGACAATTTATTTTCTCATTGCTTTCCCTCAAGTTTTGCTTCACAAAAATCTCTGTGAGGATTAAGTGAGGGTCAGAAATCTCGACCCTGAGTATTACTAGTCTCTAAGGTGGTGTGAAGCCAGTGAAATTTTGAACACAGGCCTGTGTGGCTATACGGGTTCATTGTTTTTTTCTAATGTACATTGAGCATAATGAAGGTGGAGAACTGTATGAATCAGGACTTGGTTTTTATTACTTGTACATTTTTTTTTTCTTTTTTTGGTGGCTGGCCATTAAGGGGACCTTACCTCAACTGGAACATGGTGTTAGCAGCAGCACAACCTAACCGGCCAGCCCTATTACTTGTACATATTAAAATTACAAATACATTTATTTCACAAGAAACATCTACCAGTACTAAATTTTTAACTTACACCTTTTTCTTGATTAAGTTACTTTTAAGGAAACAATATTCAATCTATAACTATTCTCCCTACAAGGAGAACCACAGTCGTTAATCCATGAAACAAGTTCTCTAATAGCTCAAGGAACTGGGCTTTTCCATTTCAGGTGAGAAAACTAGAGGACAAAAAATAAGTAACTTAACCAGGAGGAACCAACGAAGTGAAGCTTTCACACCTGACTCATTTATCTAGCAATTTTTTCTTTTCAACTTTTTATTTTGAACTGAATATAGCTCCATAAGAAGTTGTAAAAGTCATTTATAGACTCCATTGAGCCTAAATGGGAGCCTTTTAAAATATTTTAAATTTTATATATTTTAAAATTAAATATCTTAAATATTTCTCTTGAAATATTCTTTACATCATCAGCGTGTGTCATGAATAAAACAGGAAAGAAATGAATACTTATTGGGCACCTACTGAGTGCTAGGCACTTTGTTAAATGCCTTATTTTTATTTAACACATTATTACCCACTATTTTATAAGATAACTGAATTTCAGAAAAGTCAAATACTTGTCCGGAGTCGCAGACTGAATAAGTGGCAGATTTGGAATTCCAAGGATGGTTTCTCTGACTCCAAGGCCCATGGTGTTTCCATTGAATCGGAGTTTCTATCCAAAATAATCTCAACTTCCATTTACTAGTGAGGTTTTATTTTGCTGTTATTTAATTGTTTAAAATTTTACTTCAGTGAAAGTATTTATAAACCCTGGGCAAAGACCCATTTTTTCCAACCAACTTTCAGTACAGCAACATCTGCACAGCAAGAGAACCTGCACACTTTCAGTGTTATTTAAATCACATTTAAATCACATCCTTCTCTGGCCGGCCTGTGGCTCACTCGGGAGAGTGCGGTGCTGATAACACCAAGGCCACGGGTTCGGATCCCATATAGGGATG